TAAGTGAATTAACGCTCATTATTATATTTTTGACAAATAATGTTGTTTTGTAAAATCTAAATTAGATATCTTAATTAATATGTGAAATACTGTGTATTTATTCTCCTTATTGACATCTACATATTCACGCTTACACATGAAGCTGTGAAAATATTTTTTTTTGTTTTTTTTTTTGTTTCTCTTTTAAAAAAGAATGATTACAGCCAATATGCACTGCTGACCATTACATAGGGAATATGTTTCATATTTAATAAGTTTCACACTAAAAGAACCCCATGTGTCAACTTTTCATGTGATAGAATACAAAATTGCCTCTTGTGTAAAAAATGATTATTAAATTTAATATCTTTATGATCTTAACTACCATGCATCAATGAATGAAGTAATTTTTATTTAAAGTCACCAAATTAAATTCATCTTACACGATTTGCCTTCATCGCACTGCCTCCCACGCTATTAAATGTACACCAAATTTACACGTCTTAATTCTATATACTATCTCTATAATAGTGGTTACATTATTTAATATAAAAACGGGTCTTTAAGCACGTTTTAGCAATTTTCTCTAGAAACACATCAGCGTGGTTGGGTGTCTTTAAAAGGTGAGATGGAACAACACATACCCCAAACGGCATAGAAAAACCAACAAATATCTGATAACGGACAAAAAAAAAAAGTTGCTACATTGGTTATTTGAAATTTATCAAAAAGTAAATCAGTAACATTAGATGAATAGAAAGACTGTGCTCCTCTTGCTTGAAAGACACAATTGTAATATTCCCCGCCTTAATGCACAACTGAATATTAATATGTAGTTTTTGGTTTTCTCAATTTAACTGAAATGTTCTCTATAAATAACATAGATAAAGTTATTGAATTGGCGTTCACAAAAAATGTTTTTCTTTCTTCTCACATGTTAACCTCAACAATTAAATTATGTAGTTTAAAGCTATCGAAACATTTCCATAAAATTCTCATTGAAAAGTCAAAATACATGGCCAGAAACAATCATTATACCAAGTTTTTACCATCCAAATAATGTATTGTGTTATAATCTTCATTTCGATCTGTAATTAAACAATTAGAAAAAATCAGAAATAATATTGTCATGAATTTTTAATTTTCTTTTGTAAATCAGTTAAAACTCTGCGTCAATGATCTACCAATAACAATGCACATAGATATGTAATGATGTTTAATGCTCGACTTTTCTCCACCACCGAACCTTAATGCAGTTGGAGAAATAACATCATTCACACCAGTCTGATCACTACCAACATTTTTTTATCTTTTAAAATGAAATGAAATTGGGTTTAACATCCTAGTGTCCTGCTCCGACTAGGCTAATGAAGACAGACTATCTGCATAAACTTTCTATTCATATAGAATAATAGTTATATTGTAAAATTCATAAGGAAAAAAATATTGAATCATATTTCAAATATATAACTATAAGAAATGAGATAAGTGTTTTCTGATAAAGATAGACCTACACAATAACTTGATAAAATTCTAAATATTATAGTCGTCTTCTTAAATATCAACCCTTCGGCATTATATGTAATAAAACTTTTATTTATTCATGTCACTGCCTTTTTTCAAGTGCAACACTTTTTAACAAAAGATAAGAAAATCAACCACTGTTGTTGATCTACTACATTTTCTGATAAACTAGTTTTTAAAAAAAATCATTGCCCATTAATCTTACTAATCACATGTTTTTATATAACAAATGCACCTTGTGTCATTAAGTCAGTAAATGAGATTACATTTGATACGAAATTGCCCTAATGACACCCGATTACTGCATTCAAACCTGTGATATTATTTCAGACAAAAACGACAATGCAGTGTCATAACTCATATATATTAGCTGTCATTATCCGAACATGTACAGGTTTTTTTTAAATCTCCACTGATGAAGGCTTACGGTTTTAAAAAAAACCGACATGCAAGCTTAACCATTTCCCTCTGGACAAATGAAAAGAAAACAGATATGTTTTTTTCAAAAATTATAGTTATCTTTTCTTAAATATATGTATTTCACTAAATGAGAATTCTGTGATTCTTTAATATCCAGTAGAAATATGAAATATGATCAATAAAACAAAAACTAATTAAAACTATACATATTTTCAGAAAAGACATACAATTTTAACCCATGTTTTAATCACTTCCGTCTTTTTAATGAACATATCTGATCTCAGTGCATGCTTAATAATTTTTTTAACATCTGATAATACTGCTTTTTAATTTATCTGGGGTTTTCACCGAGTTATAATATGTGTTATATTTTATTTTTTCATCATAAACTTTTTTATAAAAACTTTATCTATAACAGAAAATTTGTCAAGTTTGATTCCAGTTCTCATTTTAATCAATTTTTTTTTAAATAAACAAGGACAAAAATTTAAAGTCTATGTATATATATTTAAGACTTTTCCAAGATCATGTCACGTCTTTTTATTAGTTATTTCCTGTAACTTATGATGTATGTTTAAGCAACAGATTTTGATATCATTTTTTTTTTATTTATTTATTTTTTTTTGATGATTTGATCTTTCTGTAAAGAAGGAGGGTTTTTTTGTTGTATTTGTTTCCTTTTAAAGCAAAAAGATGTCACATCTCATAATCCCATAAATGAAAAAAAAAAAATGGTCAAGATCGTGGTTTAAAAACTTCACATGGAAATAACAGAAATTATGACAATTATAATATATGGTTTGTTGAGAAATGCTGACACCAAATTATTAATTTTCAAGGTCTAATAAATTAGTAAGCCAATAAATTAGCAAGCCAACTTGAAATTTCTAACTTTATTTGTATAGTCCAATAGCAAACTTACCCAACTATTTTTCTGATTGTTTCACATAATCTTTGGTTTTGATATGGATGAAATAACAATGACTGATGCAATGACAATAATACCGTCTTCAATTTGAAAGACATTTAAGCATTTCTCAAGGTTTATGAAAGCAATGCTGATGAAATTTTCTAGGCAGTGGTTTAAAGTTACTTCTTTTCCAGAACGGGACCTAAAATTCAAGTAATTCCCAAGATTGTATGAATCCTGTAAAACACATGCACACAGAAAGAAAAAAACCCAGTAAATGGCTCTTTTATTATAATTTTTTTTTCCTACATGCAACCATATTCTGATATTCAATACAACAGTTCAAAATAAAAGTCATAAATTTTTGGATATCGTAAAACATTTTGCACCAATAAAAGCAGTTTCTGAAATTTGCATCCATGTGTTCATTTAATAGTAATTCAAATAAAAATTTCAATCTGGCTGTTACGAGTGGAAATAATTAAGAAGTATAGATAGAAGTAGCTGTGGATTAATGTTCGTTGTTTCATCAACTCACGTTTTACAAGAATCAATACCATGTTCCCTATTCACCATCCGATATTACTACAATCAACTTTTCAACTAAAAACTATCACAAAATTGTGTTTAATTATTTAGTTTTTTAAGACCCTGTAGTATTTCAGGAAATTACAATCTTACAGAACCAGAGAGTGATATTTGCGGAAGCACAAATGGAGAAGTACGATCTTTACAAATGACCACCTCGTCATTTTCTCTGAGCAATCTATTCTCATCTGTAAGAACAATTATAATGTGTTTTATTAGTGCCCGCCTACAGCCCTTGAAATTAAAGGTTTTCAATCAATGGTGTTGGATTGTTTGTTTTTAAGGGATTTTCTTTGCTGGTAATTATAACTAGATCCACACACACTTGAAAAGTCTACAAGAAAATACAAGTCAAATCCATAAAAAAATATAACTTAAATCCATAAGTGAAATAAGTCCAATTCATAAGATGTAATAGTCAAATTTACAAGAAAATATAAGTCAAATCCATAAGTGAAATAAGTCCAATTCATAAGATGTAATAGTCAAATTTACAAGAAAATATAAGTCAAATCCATAAGTGAAATAAGTCTAATTCATAAGATGTAATAGTCAAATTCATGAGAAAATAAAAGTCAAATTCATGAGAAAATATTAGTCAAATTCAACAGTTTACAAAATTAAAACACAAACTGTTACAACTGCAATCATATGATATACTGGTAGTCTCTTGAAGGCTTTTGTGGAAAGAATGAATATACAAATTATACAAATTCATTATTTCAATAAAGATTTGTTTTTGGATGTTTGGTGCTTTGTAGTGAAATGATAAAGGTAAATTATAATAAATCTTTACTGGTTGTCAAAATCCTGTAGATGAATTCAACCAATTCAATCATTGCAAATCAATCACAGAAAATTTAGTGTCATAACACTGTCTGAAACAGATTAAAATATTACAGAGAAAAGAGTGGGTGTATCCCTTATTATCCCCTGGTGGAAAATAATACGTAAAATACATATATTATTTATTCATGAACAGAATACAAGATTAATTTTTTCACTGATTAATTTGTTTTGCAATTCACCATAAATCATATTGTACTTCTTGTCAATAATATGACATCACATACATCTAGCTGATGATGTACATATAAAAATATTTTCAATAGTGACTTTCCAGATCTACAGAGTAAAAATGAAAGAACCTCTTCTAGCTACATGGAGTCACAGTGTCTCAGTGAATAGTGTAGAATAGAGGGCCTGGCAAGTATTTACTGGTGGACAATTGTCTGGACAAAAACTTGAGGTCATCTGTACATGTTGCTGTGCATGTGAAAGAATTTGACAAAGAACAGGCGGAAGCAGCCACTCTTGGTGCAGAAATATAGAATGTTAAACTCCATTTCATTCAATCATTCTCTGGCTATATTACCATACCTTTATACCTTTTGTTCAGTTTACCTTTAAGCCACAATGGCTTGTTGACCACCTTGATTTTGTCTAATACCAAACGGTTTGTGCATGCCTAAACTTAAACATGTCTTATTGAAATAAAATTCTCAAAGTGTTTGGTCTAAATTAATAAGAATTGAATTAATAACAGCTTGGGTTAAACTTTACTTCTTCATTTTTCCAGAATTGGTTGAGGTGTGATTAGAATATTGGCTGTGGGTTTCAGCATTGACAGCACAGAATGGTAAGGATACTTAAACCCAAAATCATAATTTGGCTATGTTAAATTTGTTCATAAATAATTATGCATTCAAAATAATGACCATTATCCAATTCATCATATTGCACTTACATAATATCATTTAAATTTTTGGGGTATTTAAGTTCTTTGCCAGAATATATTGAGATTTACAAAATTTAAAAAAAAAAAGTTTATTTTTGTCTTGCAATTAATAAAAGAATTTTGTGTGTGTTTTTTTAATTTTGTATTCTAACTCTACATTAAATGGATTTTTATAGTAATGGATGTCCTTTCATTGGGCTGTGACTACCCCTAATTCCAATATCCCCCCAAACTACTATTTGTTCATTTTTTCCTTTTCAGGCAAATATCAAATTTGCATCAGGAGCCACCCAACCACGTGTGTGAGTTAATAATGGTCATGGAAGACTTAGTCTAAAATATTTTTACTGACTTCATCAGCTTTACATCAATGCAATCCATTAAATATGCCCTTTCGGGTTTAGTCTCCACCACCAAAATCTCACCCCCATTAAAATTTCAAGTATACTACCATACTGCATGACAACATAGCTACCCAATCCCCATTTCATCAATTTTTTGAAAATCAGGAAAAAGTCAAAGATTTACCAGTATATAAAAAACTTTAGTATGAAAATTCAATGCTTAACTCATTGCATAGAGAACAATCAGTGAGTTTTTGTGGTTTCTGCTTAAAAATAAAGCTGACTGGAGTTATTTCCCTTGCCCCATCCATCTAAAAAGAAGTTAAGTCTCAGTTAAAACATTCTGATAAAAAAAAAGAAGAAAAAAACAAAGGCACCCAATTAAATTTCATTTTATTTTTTTAAGTAACGTCTATTTATACGGTGTTAAAAAACCTACATAAATTGAACTTATTTATTAAATAAACTATGAAAAATAAACCAATTTGTGTCCAAAATATTTGTTATGAAAACTAGATCCAAATAAAAATCGTGCTATCTTAAGAAAACACTCATTGATATTTGTCACAAAATTAATAGCTCTATAATTATTTTAATATCTCTGGATATTTGTTCAACGATGTGATTATTTCCTGATTGTGTTTCACTAATAAATGACAAAAAAGGTATTAAAAAAAATGATGGGGAGAGGATTTGGAAATCTAATTTGCCATATAGATTCAACATATATATATATATATATATATATATATATATATATATATATATACATACAATAAAGTAATCATTTGATGGTTTCCGTATTTTACATTTCTCTCATCCTTCACTCAAGTGTGAATAAATTAAAACCAAATCTTAACCCAGACTGATAGAATAAACCATATGTAAACAAAACAAAACAACAAAAAGAACCCCAACAAATAAAAATATTCACATTGATCCATCAAATTTAATATATATTCCTTTAATCATTTTCTTTAGCGTGGATGATGCAGAAAAGTAGGACCTTAAACTGCATTTCATTTCATTCTATTTCTTTAATCAGAACAAAATGAGGAATTCTTAAGAATTGATTCTTAGAATCCTATAGAATTATGGCACAGGCCAACCAAACTCTTTATTGTTCCTGGTCTCTAAGACTTATAACCCACATGTCGACTTGAGACCTTGGCTATCTATTACATAAGTACTCGCTATAACATATGGCTTTCTAATTTGTCATCCAATATTTTGTCAAGTATAATTGAATAGGACAACATAATTCACAAAATATAAGAGCATGCTGATGAAAAAATTACAGTGGGTTAGACCTTGATGTACGCCCTGAACGAAATCACAGACGCACAGCGCAGGAGGGTGCAGATATATGTATTTATAAATATCCTGGATAAAGACATGTGTCTTGCCGATGGTTTTTAATTAATAACAGTACCTATATGTAAGTGCATATACTTATTTACTTAGAACTGCCAAACGAAGAATCTACAACATGAAATACGATATTCTTTGAGGTTCTAAACACTAAATATATTAAGATGCTAATTGTCTGTGCAAGATTTGCTGTGGATTTGTTATTTTTCAATTATTGCACAACCTTCGACTATGTTCTCTCAAGTTAAATACCCATTAGTCAACCGAAATAGAATTTGCGCTTCATTAAAACATGTGATACATGAGTGCTGCTCGTACCTCATCGAGACATTCTGGTACCTCACGTGGAGACAATAAAAATGTGAATTTAAATTCATAGCACTTTTAAACAACAGCCTCTGTCCATGTTATCTTTTGTTTGGCATTAAAATCTTTCTCAAATTTTTTGTTGATTTATGCAATGAATATGCATTTAATCAAGAATTATTGTAAAAGTTATCTTTTAATAATCTTTAATTCGTATATTTTCAACTGAATTAAGTTCTTTCTGCCTTGATTTGAGTATTCTACAGACAATGTTTCGGAACCGATTATCATCTGTAGTAACAAATGGTCTCCAAACACACTTCTCTGAACACACTGTTATTGAAACTGATCCCCAGACAATGTTTTAGAAACAACTATTATTTAAAACTAACCATTACTTCCTAGACATCGTTTCACAACCAATTATCATTTGAATGAGCAAATAGTTCCTGGACACTGTTTCAGTAACAACCATCATTTGTACTAACCAGTAATTTCTAAATGTTTTAGAACCAACTACATGTACCACAAGTAAGCCCAAATTTCTTAAGCTACAACTGACATGATCTGTTACTTACAAAGATCAAGGTCCGATCCCAGTGTTGCCCAACAAAGTTCCTCAGGATTTTCACTGGATCTGGTTTTGTTCTTGTCCCCCAAAAATTACCTAAGCATTACGGTGCCCAAAGAGTTTGGCAATCTTGCAAGTCGAAACATTTGACTTGGATTGCAAATGCTATTATACATATTAACAAACTCAACATATTTTTTTCATATATAAAAATTAATTAAACTGCTGAAAAATGTATAGCACTTACACAGACATAAAAGTATCAATTTGTTTGTCAAGTCTTGTTTAAAAAATTGTTTACTTTGTTTTGTTACAAATTTACTGGATAATCAAGTTTAATAGAAATAATGTTAACATTAAATTGACCACCAAGAAACAAATTTTAACAGATGGGAAAAAAAAAGCTTTTGTTTTTGACCTCATACTTTTTAATTCTTTAATTTCTTAACTCCCACTTTGGAAGCACATTTGTTCATTTATCAGAGAACCAACATACAGGCCTTCTCGTATGTCATACATTACATCAGGGAAGCTAATGATATCATAGAATTTCATGTTTGTCTGTCTATGATCAGAATTCCACGGTTTCTCTCAGATATGACGATAACATGTACATTACCCTGTGAATAGATCACATGATTAACTGATATACGGCCATGACAGGTGCTTGGTAACACCCAACATGCGTTCTGTTCAAGGCAGCCATGTTCACTTAGTTAATATGGTAAGAAAGAAAAAAATAAATTTTTTAACTTCGTCTTATGAAGAAATGAGACAATTTTGACAGCAAAATGCAGCAGTTTAATTTTGAAAGGAAATCAAGTTAAATACACTAGACCACACATATATTTATATTACTCTTGAATGTTTTTAATCTGTTTTTAATTGGTCATTCATCATTTGACGCAATTTACCAATCTGTCATATTTTACAAGTATTCTTATCAAAGCAGATGTCCTTGATCCAAAAGTACAACAAACATATGATCTTGTTATGCGTTATCTAAAAAATCTTTGATCAGACATATTTATCTACAGGCATCATCTTTGTTTCGTACCCAACTTTTCCAGACGTCATATTCAAAGGTACTGATGCACATATTTTAAATTAAACGAAAAAAGTGGTGTTCTGTGTGTGCTCCAGAATAATTTTTCACAAAACATGTTCAATGATTGTCTTTCTGTCTTCTGTAAAAAAAGAAGTTATTGTTCTTTCACATAGCATTATTTTGTTCCTGATCAAACAAAAGTATATCATTCACATTTTCAACACATTCCGATTACATTGTTTGAATTATCCCAAAAACTTCGGGTATCTTGTGAGTTGTTTTTTTTTTTTAATATTATGCAGGGTATGCTCTTTCTTCATATAACACCTGATAAGTCAATTTCAGTAATTTGGGAAGATCAAAAAGTAACAATTTTTACCGTACATTTGTAATTTACAGGATTGTTCACCTGCCAAATCGTACAATAACTTTTTAATATTTTAAGTGAAGTTCGAACACACTGTTTCTTTGTATCTTGGGAAAACTGTTGATAGATATATATCTTTGTATATTTGGAAAATACTACTCTTTAAGTTGGAGTTAGTTAAATATGTCTAAATGAAGGTTTTGGAAAAACCCCAGAGTATCCTGTGTTTGAAGTACTTTGACCATTCTGAGACTAATATAATGGCTTTTCTTCTTTCAAAGAATACTGTATGATCATTCTAGATTTGTATAGAAGATCTAAATTTTTCGTCCTATACAAACTATCATAGCCCAGATAAACATAATTTTTGCTCTTGACAAATGGAAACCGGGTTTGAGAAATCCTAAATGTTCATCTCTCCCCTCCACCCTGGGTCTTAGCCACATGATCACCTGGTCTCCATTTCAGTGGCTTACTACCTAGAGTATGTGCAGGACAGAACGGTCCTTGGATTTGCCTTGCCTACCCCAGTACCCTGCTTTCAGAAGGAATCTGATACAACCATTGTAGTTATAAAAGTACTAAGCAGTAGAAGCAGGTCTTAAAATTGACAGATTAACCAAACAGAGGGAAATTTACCAGGGCCAATCAGTCAATCAATCAATGAGATTTTGACAGGTGTAAATAGTTCCTTGATGCTCACAGCTTCTCCCAAACAAGTTGAACATTCTTCTAATCTATCGTCTCATCTCACACAGATAACAAGCTTTTTAACAGTTTCTTTTACATATCTCGATTTCTAAACCCTGTTCCGCTGATATTGACAACAGAATGGATCATTATTTCTGAGAGGCATGCAAGTCAATTTCACCATCAACAAACAAATGATAAACACAAGTTTGATAAAATCTGATACCAACTACTATAATGTCAAGTTTTTGTATACCCTCATATATTATACATACAATCAAATAAAAAAATATATTAAAGTGGCACAGGCTTTCACCATAATATACCACATTAAAGCTGGGCTTCCTACCCAACTTTATATACAGCCATCAGCAAAGGTAACAAAATTTAAAATACCATTTTTAAACAATACTATTTTAAGTTTAAATACTTTTTAAAAAAAAAAAGTTACCCACTTTATTTAGTAGGCAAAATTTACCCCAGATTGGAAGTTTTAGAGTATATCTTACTGAAAGAAATTTTTCAAGACATAATAAATGTTATTGAGCAGAAACTAACTCGACCATCAGAGGGAGAGAGAGAGAAAGAAATAGGGTTTAACAACCACTCGACACAAACTAGGTCATTTCGGGACTAACATATGGTTTAATTTTATTTCAATAATTCACTTCTGCATAGGGGTCTTAAGCAGTGGGAGGAAACCGGAAGACCCGGAGAAAACTCACAAGGCTGGACAGGCGACCCTACTCCTTGTCACGTACAACCGGGGATTCGAAACCATGTCAGTTGACTCAATGACAGGCCTTATGATACAGCACTCACATGCTAACCATTCGGCCATCCACCCCCACCCAAAAAAAAAACCCAGAAGGAACTTTAAAACTGAAATGAAATGAAATGAAATGAAATGAAATGAAATGAAATGAGTTTTTACATCCTACTGTGAACTTTAAAACTGCAAAGAAATTTCATCTGCAGATAATTTTTAATCCTGGGCAGCAATCTTTAACAAAATGTTT